GTAAAGAAGGTGCAAAGTAGAAGAAAGAGGTGGTGTGTGGGGAGGCTGGGGGGGGGGGGGGGAAGGCGAGTATAGAACCTTGTCATTATCTTGCTTTAATAAGTGCAAATGAATAAAGAAGTATTGCAGAAATATAAAACATCAATCCTATATAGATAAGAAATGATGAAAAGAATAAGAATATATGAAATGAAGAGGGCACAAAAAAGAAAGATGAAAGACTAAAACGAAAATGAAGACATACTGATGGTGATTTATGAAAATGGAAACGAGTTTTTCTTCTTTTTTATTTCTGAGATTTGTTATTTCAGATGTAAAATACTTGCATATTCATATGTCAATCGGCATAAATTAAATGAAAATAAGGATTTAAAGAAGAAAAAAATGTTTTTTTTTTTTACTTTTAACTTGTTCGCGCGCTGTTCGTTTTTCGAAACATTGGCTGAATGAGAAAAATAATATTCAGTGTTTGAATTTCAAAAATGTTTTCAGAACATTGTTGGCTTCATTAATCAATTGTGGGGAGAAAAATGAAAATTAAAATGATGAAAAAGACGAAAATGAAGAAACATAATAAAAAAAGGTAATTGTTTTATGTGACTATAATTGGTTAAGACAAGCCATGCCATCTTACACAGTACTCTCTCTCTTTCAGAGACTCTCTCTCTCTATTCTATCTTGATCTATTTCACTTTCAATCAAAAGTTATTTCAAACAAACATGCTATATTACATATATATATATAGTATAAAATAGTTTTAATATAACTATTTGAGTAACAAAAATGTGATGAAAGGTTTCAACTTGTTTCATTTTCTACAACAATTGATTTTCATTACACTATTGCCAGTTCGTTTCTTTTTTTTTCTTCTTTCTTTCATCCATTCTTTCTTCCTTCCTTCCTTCTTTTTTTTTTCTTTTTATTTTTCTGATTACAAACGTTAGCACTCGTTTTAGCTCCCACTGTTATCAAACGACCTCGTTAGAGAATTAGGACAAAGTTGGGAAATTCATGAAACTGCCACACCCCTGCGAAGTAAAGAAAATGAATCATTTTCTACAATAAATTGGATAAAAATCAGTTTGACAAACGTATTGGCTACTAATAAACGTGAGATATACTATATATGCTA